GGTGTCCCGGATCAGGGTGGGGGTCCTGCTGGGGTGCCTGGCCAGCCTGGGTGAGGGTCTGATGGCTGTTTACAGCTGGTCAAGCCCCCCCAGTGGGGACCCTCACCCCATGAAGGTTTGGCCAGCCTGGGTGAGGGGCTGAGGACCGTTTTCAGGCTGGCCAAGCCCCCCGGCGATGGAAGCTCCCAGCCTCTCCTTTTTTTCTTTTTATTCTGGGATTTATTTACCTTCTATAATTGAAACTTTGTTGCTTTGAGTGGAGCTCAGAGCCGCCCGTGGCAGGCGGGACGGAAGCCTCCTGCTCGCTCCAGCTCCGTGTGGCTATGGCCGGCTGAAAGCAAGTATCTGAGGTTTATTTAGCTTCTATAATTGAAACTTTGTTGCTTTGAGTGGAGCTCAGAGCCAGCCGCGGCAGCTGGGAAGCCTGGCTTCCTCCATCATTGGGGCAACCAAGCCTCCTGCTTGCTCCAGCTCTGTGGCTGCCGGCCGCCATCTTGGTTGGGTTAATTTGCATATAGTCGCTCTGATTGGCTGGTGGGCGTGGCTTAAGGCACATCGAAGGTATGGTCAATTTGCATGTTTGTCTTTTATTAGTGTAGATGGCTATTCACACTTTATAATACTTCCTTATACATGCTGCTACCTGTCTCTGGGGTTCTTTTTAGTCTTTTAACTCTGATTTTGTTCTTTTCTATAGTGAAGTTAAACTATGTGGCCACATCTGTTACTATTTTTTCTTACGGCCTATGAATTTCCTGTCATGCTTAGAAAAACCTTTCCTACCTCAAGATTTTATATACATATTCTCCTATATATATTTCCAGAATTTTAATTCTTTTATGTTTAGATATTTAGTGTATCCTGAATTTTGTGTTTTATTTTTAATTATAAAGTTGCATGTTCACTATTTAAAAAAAAAAAAGGTTGATATAAGCACTGCCTGGGCAGCTCAGTTGGTTGGAGTGTTGTTCCTACACGCCAAAGTTGTGGGTTCCATCTCTGGTCAGGACACATGCCCACGTTGTGGGCTGGATCCCCAGTAGGGGGCGTGTAGGAGTCAGCTGGTCAAGAATTCTCTCTCATCATTGATGTTTCTGTCTGTCTCTCCCTTGTCTCCCTCTTCCTTCATCTCTGAAATAAATAAAAATATATTTAAATAAAGAATCAACCAATGAATGCATAAACAAATGGAACAACAAATTGATTTTTGTTGTTGTTTCTTTTTCTCTCTCCCTTCCCCCCCACGCTCTCATCAATAAATAAAAAAGGATGGTGTAGGAAAAGTCTAAAGAACAAACTATATATTTAGAGTTAATTAATTCTTAAAAAATGACACTGTATAGTGGCTCCATAACCTGCTTTTTGCACTTACTGGTTAGTAAACATATTTTTGTGTCATTAAATATCCTATATAATAAAAGGCTATTATGCAAATCGACTGAATGGTGGAATGACAGTTCGCTATGATGCGCACTGACCACCAGGGGGCATATGCTCAATGCAGGAGCTGTCAGTCAGACATCCCCTGAGGGCTCCTGGACTGTGATAGGGTGCAGGCCGGGTTGAGGGACCCCCCTCCCCCGCCCCCGAGTGCATGAATTTCGTGCACCAGGCCTCTAGTTTGTGTATATTATCGTTAAATTTTATTTTAATGACTTGTTAGTATTCTATATTTATATTAGTATGTTTATCTTTTTCTTATTGATTTACAAGACCTGTTTGTATATGAAGTATACTGACCATGTGGTATATGTGTTGTAAATATAGTCCCCAGCTTGTTTGTTCCCTTTATATTTTGTTTAGGATGTTCTTGGCATTGCAAAACTTCAACTTGAATTAAGTCAAACCATTGATCTTTTCCATAACGATGTATGACTTTAGGGATCAGATTGCATGTTCTTCCCTAACCAGAGGTCATATATTCATTTGTACTTTTGTGGCTGTCACAGTTTTATGGTTTATTTTCTTGCCTTTAATTCATTTGGAGTTTATGCTGGTGTGAGGTTTGAGCCTGGAAATCTAACTTAATTTTTTACAAAACAGGTAATCTGGAGGTGACCCTGGGGTGGGTGGGGGCTCCTGGGGTCAGATTCACCACCAGGGCAGTCCATTGGCTTCTTGGTGACTGTCTGTACCTTCCCTCCCTGGCAGGCCTTGGAGATCCGGGCCAGCCCCGGCCACACCCCGGGCTGTGTCACCTTCGTCCTGAACGATCACAGCATGGCCTTCACTGGAGATGCCCTGCTCATCCGAGGGTGTGGACGGACGGACTTCCAGCAAGGTCCAGGCCCCTTTCCTCAACCTGAGGTCTTAGTATGGTTATGTGTGCGCCAGGGTTTTAAGTATCAGAATGAATGAAGGAGTGTTCAACTTTTAGGGAGTCAGGGTTCAACTCAAGGCATTTAGCTGCCGGAGTGGAGAGGGGAGAGTTAGATTCAGGGGTTTGCTGGTGAGAGAACAGTTAGGTTGAGGGGTTTGGCTGTTAGGGGACAGTTAGATTCAAGGGTGTGTTAATTATCTGTTGCTGTGAAAGAAATTACTCCAGAACTGAGTGGCTTAAAACAGTGATTAACACTTATTATCTCACAGAGCGTCTGAGAGTGTGGACTCTGGGGCAGCTTAGCTGGGTGGTTTTGGCTCAGGATCTCCCATGAGGTTGCAGTCATGCTATGGGCCTGGGCTTCAGTCATCTGAAGGCTCGCCTGGAGCCGGAGGATCTGCTTCCCTGAGGCTCACTCAAATGGCTGGCCAGCTGGCCCTGGCTGTGGGCAGGCGTCCTCAGTTCCTCCCCGAGTGGACCTCTTTGTGGGGCTAAGTAATGTCATGGCAACATGGCAGCCGGATTCTCTCTAAGGGGATAATGAGAGAGAGAGAGAGAGAGAGAGAGAGAGAGACCCTAATTTTTTAAAATGACCTAGTCTCCTAAGTTAACTCTGTCATTTCTGCAATAACTTATTTATGAGATGCAAGTCCCTTATCCAAACCACTAAATCAAGGTGAAGGGAATTCACGTTATATTTTTTTAGAGTGTCAAAGAGTTTGTGGACATATTTTAAAACCCCATAAGGGGTTTAGCTACTGGAGGTGTGGCAGGGGTGGGGGACATGCGGGGTTTGATTCAGGAGTTTAGCTGCTAGGAAGTGGTTAGTCAGTGCTCTGATTGCTTGGGGGCCGTGTCACATTTGGGTTTGGTTTCTGGGGGAACTTAGATTCAGTTTCACTGTGGAAAGGGGGTTTCAGAATCTCAGGGTTTGGCTGATCTTTGAGTGTGTGTGTGTGTGTGTGTGTGTGTGTGGTGTGTGAGAGAGAGAGAGAGAGAGAGAGAGAGAGAGAGAGAGAGAATGTAGGGTTGACAGTAGATTGGGTGGATTTGGCTGCCTTTTGGGAGGAGGGCGAAACTGGATGAGATGGGAAAGACACAGCCATGTTGAGCTGGCAGTGGGTAACTTTCTTCCTCTCCTTTTCCCTCCATCTCCGTCTCTGTCTTTTTCTCTCCGAGGCTCGTATTCTCTTTATCCACTCCCAAAGCAGTCATGAAATGGGAGGATTTAGGCTGAGATGAAAGGTGGAAGAACATTCCAGAGAGGTTTTCCCCTGCCCCAGCTGGGGACGCAGGGCTCCTTGTTGGAACCATGGCGCCGTTCTCCTCCATGGCCTCATGCCTTCGGTGTCTGCCATCTTCCCCGCCCGGACCCTGTCTTGTCATCCCCGAGCGAGGCCCAGTCCCTTGGTGCCTCAGGGTCTCCTCCCAGCCTTGTCTACAGCCATGCTGATTTTTCTCCATTCCCCAGTTACTTGTCCACGCTGTTCCACCTGCCTAGAATACCCTTCCTGCTCCTTCTCTTCCTAGATAAAGGGGTACCGGCAGGAAATGAGGGAGAGGTTTTAGCTACCTCCCACCCTTTTCTTTTTTTAAAATATATTTTTATTGATTTCAGAGAGGAAGGGAGAGGGGAGAGGGATAGAAACATCAATGATGAGAGAGAATCATTGATTGGCTGCCTCCTGCACGCCCCCTACTGGGGATCAAGCCCGCAACCCCAGGCATGTGCCCTTCACCAGAATCGAACCCGGGACCCTTTAGTCTTTAGGCTGACGCTCTATCTGCTGAGCCAAACCAGCCAGGACCCACCCTTTTCTTAAGTGAAGGGGTTAAGGGGACTCTCTTTCTTATCCTCTTGACCCACTAATCTCTGAGCTTTCCCTCCCCAGGCTGTGCCAAGACCTTGTACCGCTCAGTCCACGAAAAGATCTTCACGCTTCCAGGAGACTGTCTGATCTACCCGGCCCATGATTACCATGGTGAGGGCTTCCTGGAGGGGGTGTGGGACCTACATCATTTACTACTATTTGACAGGGAGCACTAATCCTCTGGGGCATGGGACTGCCATTCCCCGAGATTCCTCTGGCCAAAGCACGGTCATGTGCTTATGTGTACTGAGTGTGGATGTAGAAACCACAACTCCTAGAATTCCGGGGCGCGTGGGTTTTCCTGGGACCTCTTTCCAGTGGTTCTCAACCTTCCTAATGCCACGACCCTTTAATACAGTTCCTCATGTTGTGGTGACCCCCAACCATAAAATTATTTTTGTTGCTACTTCATAACTGTAATTTTTTAAAAATAATTTTTTAAAAATTTATTTTATTGATTTTTTACAGAGAGGAAGGGAGAGGGATAGAGAGTTAGAAACATCGAAGAGAGAGAAACATCGATCAGCTGCCTCCTGCACACCTCCTACTGGGGATGTTCCCGCAGCCCAGGTACATGCCCTTGACCGGAATCGAACCTGGGACCTTTTTGGTCTACAGGCTGACGCTCTATCCACTGAGCCAAACCAGTCAGGGCCATAACTGTAATTTTGCTACTGTTATGAATCATAATGTAAATATCTGATATGCTATATGTGTTTTCCAATGGTCGCGGGCCACAGGTTAAGAACCGCTGTTAGGGAACTGTGAGAAACTACATTTCCCATATTGCCTATTGAGGAGGGATAGCATTTTCAGGAACATTCCAGGCCAGAGAGGCACCCCAAAGCCTCCTGGGAAATGTAGTCCTGAGAGGCCTGAGGCACCAAAGGATGGACATTCCTCCCCCTCTCTTGGCCACTAGGACTCACGGTGTCCACTGTGGAGGAGGAGCGGACTTTGAACCCTCGGCTCACCCTCAGCTGTGAGGAGTTTGTCAAGGTCATGGACAACCTGAACTTGCCCAAGCCTCAGCAGATAGGTGAGCACTTGGGAACCTGGACTCCTGGGTGTGAGGGAGGAGGGGCTGGGGGCCTGGACTCCTGGGTCTGAGGGAGGAGGGGCTGGGGACCTGGACTCCTGGGTCTGAGGGAGGAGGGGCTGGGGGCCTGGACTCCTGGGTCTGAGGGAGGAGGGGCTGGGGGCCTGGACTCCTGGGTCTGAGGGAGGAGGGGCTGGGGGCCTGGACTCCTGGGTCTGAGGGAGGAGGGGCTGGGGGCCTGGACTCCTGGGTCTGAGGGAGGAGGGGCTGGGGGCCTGGACTCCTGGGTCTGAGGGAGGAGGGGCTGGGGGCCTGGACTCCTGGGTCTGAGGGAGGAGGGGCTGGG